CAATTCACTAGATATTCTGTAACTTAGAGATAAAGGTAGTATTAAGTGAAAGAGAGTTACACAACTCATTCCTAACAGCGGTGCTAAGTGATGTAAAGAAGCAGAGTATGCAGTAAGAGCCTATTAATCACGTGAGTGAGGGACAATCAGCAAGTCTAGGAGAAGACCTTCTGCAAAAATCCTGAGGGAAAGCATGAGGAAAAACTGAAAGGCAAGAGGAAAATAGGAAAAAATAAACTGGAATTGTTGGCATGGGGCTTGGGTAGGGCAGGCAAGGCCACAGCACCCACCAGTGCACAAGAGCCAGGCCTGAGGTGGGATGGCCTGGGCCAGGCCACAATACCTACTGGCTCACATGAGAGCCAGGTTTGGAGCCAACCTGGTAGGGGGTTCTTGAGGGTTGCCCTAACCAAGCCAAGGAACCCACCTTAAGCATCAGAGTTGATTCTGGGGGCCAACTTGACTGTGCCACTGCACCTGCCTGCCCTCATGGAAACTGAAGCTGGGGACCTGTCAGATGATGTGGAGGGGCTTCACAGCCAGGCACATGCACCCTCTAGACTGACAGCAAAGGACTGGCAGCAGTGTAGACCAGGCCACAGCACTTACCAGAGCATAAAAGAACCAGGGGCGGGGCAGGTAAGGTGGTCGGATCAGGAGGGGCTCTCTGAATCACAGTGCTTTATATTAGCAGGATACTGATTTCAGGGAACATACCATTGGCATGTGGTCCAGCTGCACAGCACACGCTGCAAGACCAAGCCACCTCCATTGCTGACTCCCATACAAGGATGAAGAACACACCAGAAGCACATGAAAGACAAGACAGTCTGTCCCTCAAATCCAAGAGGACATCTCAAATATCTTGTCAAAGAATAGAAAGAAAAGCAAGTGGTACAATACTTTAAGCCATATTTTTTTTAAAAAAACACCTAAGCCTGTAGACACTCTGAGGTAGACGTGGACAACCAACAGACCACAGCACTTACACAGAGAGAACAATGAAGAGCCCCTGTGAGGACAAATTAAATAGGTCACCTTTTACATAATGAAGCAAACAACATCCTAGGACAAGGCCTGGTGCGATAGCATAGTGGTTAAAGTTCTCACCTTGCATGCGCCAGGATCCCATATGGTTGCCAGTTCTAATCCTAGTGGCCCTGCTTCCCATGCAGCTCCCTTCTTGGCCTGGAAAAGCAGTTGAGAATAGCCCAAAGCCTTGGGACCCTGTACCTGTGTGGGAGACCTGGAAGAAGCTCCTGGCCATTGCAGCCACTTGGGGAGTGAACCATCAGATGGGAGATATTCCTCTCTGTCTCTCCTCCTCTCTGTATATCTGCCTTTCCAATAAAAATAAATAAATAAATCTTTAAAAAAAATCTTGAGACAATCAAGATGATGCAGCAGACACAGTCAAAGTCCCTGAAGGTAAAGCCTCTGGACAGCATAAAGATCCACTTGATGAGGGTCAGAATTGGGACAACTATACAGCATGCCTAGGGCCATAAGCCAGAAGTCATACCTCCCCCCAAGTCAATCTTATCCACATACCACCCAAGTATCTGGATATGCTTCCCCCACCAATGTCCCTGAGGCAGCATCAAAAGACCACCTCCAGCCCCTGGTACCAATGTCATCGGACAACAAAGAGCAGCGCATCGTCTTCCCCGTCCCATCTCTCCCAATGCTAACACAGGAGGGAAGGCGGAAATGTTTCCCTCACCTCCCCCTGACCCTCTCCATCTCAACCAGTGGTCCACATGGGTCTGCAATCCCCTCAAACTTTTTAATGAACTTCTAAAAATTAAATTTTTAAAAATGCTGGCATCTGATAATAAGGAAAAGTAAAGCCTATAGTTGGTTTTCCTATTGTTTTTAGGATCCCTATACACAATGCACCCTATTAACTGCTTCAGGCAGATGTTTCCAACACCTGCCCAGGATCACAGCTGTACACTGTTTCCTCTAGTTGCACTGCTCTTCCTGGTTTGTGCCCTAGCGCCTACTTGACACAGTACACCTTTCAGCACAGCACTGCTCCCTTCCACAAGAACCTACTTATTCCCTTCACAGGACTTACTGTTATCTAAAAACACCTAGCTTAGGGACTGGCATTGTTTTGGCAGTGGCTTAGGCCACTACCTTCGATGCTGACACCCATATCAGAATATCACATACTGGGACACTAGTTCACCTGGCTGCTCCACTTCCAATCCTTGCTATAGCACCTGGGAGGGCAATGAAAGATGGCCTGAAGGCTTGGGTGCTGCCACAGTCTTGCCTGGCTCTAGCCCTTTCAACCACCTGGGAAGTGAACCAGAGGATGATGAGTCTTCCTTTTTCTGTCTCTTCCTCTCTCTGTAACTCTGCATTTCAAATAAGTAAATCTTCCTTAAAAGGTAGTTTATGGGAGCTAGCTCATGTCCTAGCTGCTCCATTTCCAATGCAGCTCCCTACCAATGGACTGGAAAAGCAGTAGAACATGGTCCAAGGAATTAGACCCCACCACCAAGTGGGTCAGTGGATGGTTCACTCTTCTCTCTCTCCCTCTGTCTCTCTTTTTCACTGTAACTCTACCTTTCCAATAAATAAATAACCTTTTTTAAAAAAAAATTCAATTCATACATAGTTTGTTTATTGAGGGTCTCTCTACATCAGATAAGTAACCTTACCACTTGGTCACTACTGAATGCCAGCACTTAGAACAATGCTTTGTACATCTTAATGGTGACTGAACAGCCAGAATAGCAATGGCTAAATTATAGTTTATCCATTTAATGGAACTTCTGCAACAATTTAAAACAACATTTACTGCCACCAAAAGACACCCATAATACACCATAGTATGATCTTTTTAAAACCACAGAACAATATGTAAAGTATAATCTCACCTTAATAACTGATAGAGATAAATCAACTACATGGGTATATAAAGTTGGTTTCTAATAAGAGTACAGGTATTTTTAACATACACATTTTTTATAAACATAAGGAAATGTATAGGATTATGGTATTAGGGAAAACAGAAGAATTTACATCCTCTACTTCATATACTCCTATCTGATTTGAATCTTTGGAACAACCATGTAAATCTAATATAAATTTTAAAACATTACCACATATCAAGCCTTTAAAAACCTGAGATAGTGGGCCAGTGTCCTGGGGAGAGGAGGCTGTGCCTGGACTCCTGTATTTGGCCAAGGTAAGGGAAGACATGGAGAAATAGTGATTCCTCACAAGTGAGGCCTGAGAATAACAAAGATGAAAGTTCACATTTATCCTCTCCTGAAAAGGTAGGTGGCTTCTCCCACACAGCTGTGGTGTTTGGCCAAAGGAGCCCACAGGCCTGTGTTCCATTTACTCCTCCCAGCCTCCAGTCACCCCACCCCAACTCATCCCACTAAGCCTGTGCCAGCAGCCCCTAACTCCTCCCCTCAAAAAAACAAAGAAAACTGAGATGTATTTGATAAAACATGTTCACATTCTTATATTGTAGGTTACCCTTAAAATTATATTAAAAAGCATATTTTACTTACAATAGCAATTTTCAAAAAATTAGTTTCATAATTGATAAAACTTGGAAGCGACCAATATATCCTTCAATAAATGAATAAACTGTGACACATCTATACAATGGAATATTACATAGCACTAAAAAGAAATTCAACTTATTAAAAGACATGGAGGAATCTTACAGGCATATTTCTAAGTCAAAGAAGCCAAATCAAAAATACTACACACTATGTGATTACAACTATGAGGCATTCTAGAAAATGCAGTACCATGGAGACTACAAAAACTTCAGTAGCTGCCAGGGGTTAATGCAAAGAGAATGAGAGATAAAAACACTCAGGTACTTTCGGGATTTTACTCAAGAGATCTGCAGTATAATTTAAAAATAATAAACAAATAAAAGACTACAGAAAGCAGGCGAAATTATGAAATTAAAAAAAAGAAGACTATTTATACATGGGGCACTTTTCTTAAAATAGTAATCATAAACTTCATAAAGCATATTTTCATTGACAGTAAAAATAAAATTACAATTAGATAAGCAAGGTACCTGTACAATATAAAGGAGATGGTACTCGAAGCACTTTGAAGAACCATCCTGAGTCACTATGCTGCAGCTCTAAAACTTGGAGCCCTGGAAATCTCTGGACCTTGGGCATTTCCCTTAGATAGGCAGAGGCGCTAGAGAGCAAATTCATGTACACTGGAGAGTGACACAATCCCCTTCCAGAGGCCTGCCCACCAAGGAAATCCATTCCCAAACATAGAAATTCCTACTCTTTGGCAGTCCAGATCAACTATCATCTGAGCCCCATATTCTCTGTGAGGCCACAGCTCTGCCCTATTTGATGGCCATGGTCTTCCACAAAAACCACAAGATGACCAACAATTTGAGCTAGCCCAAGCACAGCTGCAACCACACACACTTCACCAAGCAGGCCTAGTTCATGCAGGACAAAATCCAGATGTTGTGTGGCTTTGCCCCATCTGACAGCAACGCCATGGAGCTCCTCAAGGTCTCCAAGGACCAAAGGGCCTTCAAATCATTGAGAAAAGGGTGGGAACATACATTCATACTAAAAGGAAAGAGGAGGAGCTGAGCAGCACCCTGGCCACTGTGAGGAAAGTGGCTCCTACAAAGGGCAGAGCTCCTTCTTGTCTCTTGCCCAAGCCCAGTGCTCTGCTTCTATCCAAGCAGTGGGAGGGAAAGAGGGCCAATCCACAGAACAGGGCCATGGAAATAGGCAGCCAGACGACACTGGAAGTGGCATTTAAATATAACAGTTCATACTCAGCAAAAACATGTATACACACTGAAATTCCACTCCCACCACTGGGAAATTTCTCTGCTAGCCTGTCCAAAAATATTGACTAACTTGTAATACACAAATGAAACACAACCCATAAAAATACTCTTCTAATTGTTCAACAAAACATTAAAATAGACTCATAAACGTTACACACATGTTATCAGTCTTCCTACTCACATGGAATTGACTTTGTCTTCAGGGCCCTGCACTTGGCCTGTAACAGTGCCTTTGCTGGTATTCTTCACCCAGCCAACCACTCCTATCTTCTTGGCTTCACCTTCCGTATACTAGTTACAGGAAGAAACAAGAAAGACAGAATTCATCATCAAAAGTTTGACTTTTGCAGCAAACAGGATTTTGATATTCAGGAAAGGCTAATTAGAAGGTCACATTTTTCCTAAATCACAGTGAATGCCACCAAATTGTGTAGCTTATCTACTGTAACATCCTTACTTGCAAGAACCTTCACTTCAATTCTATCTTTTGTTAAGTTTTACTGTCAGTAAAAAAGGAAAATACACTATGAAAAAAATAACTCATGGGAATGGTTGGAATTACTTCAGAAACAGTTTCTACGATGTGTTTTGGGATTCTTAAAATCAGCTGCATTGTCCTCATGTATTAACACAAAATTATACCATTAAGCTGAGTTGTAAAATGAAAATCAATCCAAGATTTTTAATAACTAAGGAAAAATATCTACTTGTAAACAACAAAGTACCCATAGGCAGAAACACTAAAACATCTTGACATTTCCAACAAAAATGGAGAAAAATAATTCTACTAAAGAATTAGCTAATGAAGACACTAATCTAGATATACTGATTTGCAGAGTTATTAAAAGATTAAAATACTCTTGAGCTATTTGGTTCTGGTGGTTCTGGTTTTAGCACAGAAGTGCTGTAACTACCAATGGGTACATTTACCTCTCCTATTAATAGTACTTCTTACATTTCCCTTTTCCAGCTCAAACTTCAGTTGTGCTATTCTACTGGCAAATGAAAAACAGCTTTTGAATTATTATAACTACATACTACAGAAATTCTTGCAAACGTACTCTTCTAGTACTTTTCAATAGAACTTTTTTTAATTGAAATAAGTTCTTCCTATTCAGAGGTCAATATGATCAAGATGTCTTACTGCACCTCACCAACTGAACAAGGCAACACAGAACAAAATGGTTACAGCTAAGACATAACTAAGATCTTACTACTATATAGTAGATAACACCCATTTTGAGGGATGGGCTATCTCAAAACACAGACACTATTAGGAAGAACACACTGGAATTCCCAGAAGCTGTAAACCAGGGACCGAATCAATAAATCCCAGTTCACTCTAGCCTTTTGCTAGTCAGGGTCAGGCCCCTCCTTGGCTGGCCTGCGTGCCGCAAGATCAGTCTGACCCCAGCATGCTGAAACAATAAACTCTGCTTGCTTTTGCATTATCAAAAATAAATAAATAAATAAATCCCAGTTCAGACAGCAAGTGAAAAATCCACACTACATGTAACTTTCAGGAAGTGTATTTTTAAATACGTACTAACATTTTCTCTTGTTATTATCCCCTACTTAAATAACTATTTAAGTGGCACTTACACTGTATTAGATATAATATCTAAAGATGATGCCCAGTCTAGAAAGGATTGCACAGGTTACATGCAATTATAGTACAATTTACCCAGGGAATTCACAGACTTTAGTACATGTTCTCAGGCGTAGTAGATGTTTCTAGAATCAATCACCTATGGATATTGAGAAATTACTTTATTTCCCTATGGAATTTTCAAAGCACTTTTAATGTAGTAACTATTTCCTTGATACTAAACATCTGTAAGTGTCACCTATTTATTAACAGTATGTCTTATTTGTTTCTATGAGGAATTTTTGTTTAGCCTTTTTAATACTTGTACCCAGTTCCTTACAGGGCTAACCCACAGCAGCAGCTGCGCTAAGTCTGCACAGGCCTAAGCACCCTAAAATTCATGGGCCAATTTTGACACCCACTAAAAGCAGCACCTGGTTTACCACATCTTCACCAGAAAACATTATTGTTTTTTAAAATTGTTTTAAATTAATTAAGAGTTCATTTTTATTCATCTGAAAGTTAGAGAGACAGAATACTTCTACTAACTGCTTTACTTTCCAAATGGCTACAATATCCAGGGCTGGGGTAAGAGCAAAGCCAGTAGTCATAAGTCAATCGATCTCCCACGTGTGGCAGGCACCCATGTACCTGAGCTATCACTTGCTGCCACTCAGGAGATGCACAGCAAGAAGCTAGCACCAAAAGTAGGGCCGAGACTCGCACCAAGGCATTCTAACACAGTAGGTGGGTATCCTGAGCTAGTTCATCTTAATCACTGTGCCAAACATCTCAACTTAAACATCTCAACTTAACTGCAACTGTTTAAAATGTTTTCTAAAAAATGCAAGTTGGCTAAAATCCTCAATTTCCATGCGTCAGGCTCCCATATGGGTGCAGGTTCATGTCCCAGCTGTTCACTTCCCTTCTGGCTGCCTATCACCTGGAAAGACAGTGGAGGACAGCACAAAGCCTTGGGACCCTGCACCTGAGGGGGAGACCTGAAAAAAGCTGCTGGCTCGTGACTTTGGATTGGCTCATCTCTAGCTGTTGTAGCACTTGGGAAGTGAACCAGCAGATGGAAGATCTTTCTCTCTGTCTTTCATTCTTTCTGTAAATCTGGCCTTCCAATGAAAATGGATAAATCTTCAAATACTTAAGGATTCACTACCATCCACTCAACAACATCCAGAGAGAAAGATATAGTCACCTAACATGATCACTCCAAGTAGCTACTTTAGAAGTGCACTGTGGGGCTCAACACAATAGCTCAGTGACTAAATCCTTGTTTTGGACATGCTGGTATCCCACAAGGTCACTGGTTCTTGTCCCAGCTGCTCACTTCCCACCCAGCTCCCTGTTTGTAGCCTGAGAAAGCAGTAGAGGATGGCCCAAAGCCTTGGGACCCTGCACTAGTGTGGGAGATCTGGAAGAAGCTCCTGGCTGCTGGCTTTTGATCAGCTCTACTCCAGCCATTGCAGCCACTTTGGGAGTGAACCAGCACTTAAAAGATCTCTCTGTATCTCCTTCTCTCTGTAAAATCTGCTTTTCCAGTAAAAATAAATCTTTTTTTAAAAAATGAACTGTGGAATAGTAAAGACGCTCCAAATTGCTCCACTTTTCAATCTACTGAGGCCCTCTGAACTTGTCAGAATTCCTGCTCTTACTAAATACTCCAAGGCAGAAAGAAGCAAGCAAGCAAGCAAGCAAACACCAGTTGTATTTCTCACACAGCTGCCTACCTTTATGAACAGGAACACACAATATTCTGTGTCATATCAGGCTGGGCCATCTTCCCCCCCTTTCCCTGTCCTTTCAGCCTGGGTAACATCATCACTCACTCAGTAGTATGACAAAAAAAAAAAAAAAGACAAACAAGATTTTTTTCCTGGTTTCCCCTAAAACTTCTTTGCAACTGTAAGGTGTGGAGGAAAAAGACTAGTGTACACCAAGTACGAATCCTTCATTTCCTGGTCGTGACGCAGTGAGCACGTTGCCAACAAAACGGCCTGGTTTTCTACCAGCCCCTCTACCCTCCTGCAGCTTCCGCTGCCACTGTCAGGATAAGCGTTACCCACAGGCCCACTTTTCAGGTAAAACAGGGTAACAGGTGTTGCCCACAAGTGATTGGAAAGGGACCGGCTGCCTTAAAAGCCAGGGTGACAAGCAGACACACTCAACGAAGCATTTCCCGGCTGAGAGCCCTGAGCAGAGAAGAGCAAACTCCTTCCTGATATCGAGAATCCATAGTCCCGGAAGCCGTGAAAGCATTCTCCGGCTTCTGATACATCCACTAGTCAGTATAGCCCCTGAGTTCCGTAACAGTGCAGTCTCTTGCGGCACCTGACAAATCCACCATGCCCGACTTTCCCTGACAAGGTCCAAGCTGCTTGGGCACCTTGCTTTTGTCCTCAACCTGTGGGCGCTCTGCATTCTGACCAGTCAGTGCAGGCAGAGCATCGTGACTCCTCAGCCCAGAAGCATTCATGAGTCACGGCACTGCAGCCGCCTGCGCATGACCACGCTGGCGGGAAAGAGTCAAATGACTGGCGCCCACCCATATTTAGTCGCCAGGACAAACTGAGCTAGCGACAAACCTTCCAGGACGTTCACTTCCACAAGGGTCTCAGACACAAGCAGGCTTCCCCTGTGGGTCGTCAAGTGATCACTAAAGCACCTGGCACACCTGCCACAGACCACCTGCACCTTCTGGTCACTCTTGTGGTTCGCCCTGCCCACCTGCCAGTCAGTGCCTGAGCTCCCCCAAAAAGAGTATTTTTTTTAAATGGTGACATGGAGTTTTAACTGCTGGTAATCTCAGAACTACTTCCTTGTGCAATGTTTGCATTTTTCCTTTGGCAGTTAGAGGATCTCTTCCATTCAGAACACATAGGAAATCCTGTATTTTTTTTATTCAGTATACCCAACCAAAATGCTCATCAATTCCAACCATCCCCAGAGGGGCACTTATGAAAATCAGGGAAAACATTACAAACTACGAAGGTGGTAATGTTGCTAGCGGACTATCTAGAAAATAATAGTAAACATGTTTTTCTCTTCTAGCTTCTAAAATGTGAACATTCTGTAATTCTGTACTTCCAAATAACTGCCTAATTGAGTCTCAATTCCTTTTTAAGTAATGCTAGTCTTGTTTTGGAAGGCTGTTAACTGGTCCTCATTCATTGTGGATAGCATCCAAAGGAAAATCCCAGAGGGCCAAGTATATGAATCCAGTGGTCACACCCAACCTGCAGTCAGTTCACCGTGACCACTGTGGTCTCAATCCAACAAGGCCTTGTGACCTACTACACCAGATATAAAGACAGCTTTTGCAAAAATTCCAATAATTTCCATTAAATTATATCAGATGGCTGTCAGGCACAGGAAAACATTTAGTTAAAGAAAAAAAAACCCTCTGTGATTAGAAACAGCAGAAAATATGACCAAAAACATCCAGCAGATTGTATTGACTTACCATTCTGAAGCAAACACCTACAGGAAAAAGAAAAAAAGATAAAAAGAAATGTCAGTATGATAATCTTTAAAGAAAGGATATACACTACACCTCTGTACTTTGATAAAAAAAAAATAATAAAATGCTTGGAGTAGCCACATGTGGCACAGTAGTTAAGGTGCCACTTAACAATGCTGGCATCTCATAATGGAGTGCTGGGTTCAGTCCCGACTCCTTGACTTCTGACCCAGCTCTGTGCTCATGCACATTAAAAAGCAGGACAACAGCCCATGTCCTTGAGTCCCCTGCCCTCTGCCACCCAAAGAGGAGGCCCCATGAAGGCTCTTGCTCATGACGCCAGGCTGGTACAGCCCTGGTTGTTGCAGCTGTATGGAGAGTGAATCTACAAAATCAATCTCTCTCTATCTCTCTTTCTTTTCCCCCTCTTCACCCCCACCATGTGATTGTGTGTGTGTCTGCTGCACTGCACTGCCTTTTAAAGACATTTTGAATGCTGATTATGACAGTATATTTAGCATTAATTTTATTTTTAGCTTTTAGAATTTCTTTAAATACAATAACTATATTCAAGTTTAAGTGCAATGAAACATTTCTGGTTTTATATTATTTCTAGTCATAGACCAAGTGAAGCATATATCATGAGACACGTGACCATCACTTGGCTTTTGGATCCTTCATACTAAAGAGAATTAACAAAATGGAAACAACACTTGGAATCTCTGTAGTATGGCTTACATTATGTTCAGATATGGAGTCATACAGGTTCGGGTAATATTGCTGATCCTTAAAATGTTTTCTCTATCTAGATTGTGGTGGACTAGGTTATTCCATATTGACCAAGTACTTTGGTTACCCAGCCTGCAAAACTGGGACCTCCATTTCAGACAAGAATGCTATGAAGTATCCTATCCTGGCTTGTTTGGGGCCCAAAACTGACATATGGAAAAATGAGCTGTAAAATAAAGGCAAAACATGAGGCAATCTGGTTCCTATTTATCAGAAATGTGTGCTAATGATTTGGAACTCTTTAGAGGGAAAGGGAAGCCTTCTTACATCTCTTCTGGGAATTGTAGCAATGATCCAAAGTACGAATCTCATGTTAATTCTGCAAATTTCTACTTGCAAGATCCTTAACCCAAAAAGACATATAGAACAGACATCTTTGGGATAGACATGCCCCACCTCCAGGCCTGTTCCCAGGAGTAAGGCCTAAGAGAAAAACCATCTGGAATATGGCAGGGGAGGAAATACAGAGCTTGTTCATAACAACTGCAACTTCGTTCTTATTCTCACCTAGAACACACAGGCAATGTCCCTTTTGTATCCAAAAAGCAATTGATTTAAAAAAAAAATACTTAAGTTTCAGGGACAGAACATAGTAGTTAAGACACAAAGAAACAGAAGGAATGTCAGATTAGTGGAAATTAAATGTTATGTACAATTAAGCTGGATCTCAGAAGTCCAAATAGAGGGAGTACCTGATTCTGTGCCTCTTTGTTTCATGGTACTGATATCACGTGCTAATTAAAGTTTTTCCTTGTTTTGTAACCACACACACACACACACACACTGAAAAAGCTGACAAGAGTGGGTATTTGGTACAACAGTTAAGACACAGCTTGTGATATCCACATTCCCATATCAGGGTTCAAGTCCTAACTCTGCTCTCCATCAGACTCCTGCTAAACACCCAGGGATGCAGATAAACAGTTCAAGTATTTGGTTCCTAGCTGAGAATACCCTTCTTCCACCATTCCCTTTCTCTCTTTCCCTCCCTCCCTCTCAAAAAACTAACTAAACTAAATATCATTTTAAAATACTTTGGGGGCCCAGTGCGGTGGCGCAAGTGCTTAAAGGTCCTCGCCTTGCGCGCCCGGGATCCCATATGGGCGCCGGTTCTAATCCGGCAGCCCTGCTTCCCTTCCAGCTCCCTGTCCATGGCCCGGGAAGGCAGTCGAGGACGGCCCAGGGCTTTGGGACCCTGCACCCGTGTGGGAGACCCGGAAGAGGCTCCTGGCTTCGGTCCGGCATAGTATCGGCCTGTTGCGCTCACTTGGGGAGTGAATCATCGGATGGAAGATCTTCCTCTCTGTCTCTCCTCCTCTATGTATATCTGACTTTGTAATAAAAATAAATAAATCTTAAAAAAAAAAAAGTAGATTCAGGACTGAAAGCAGTTATCAAAATCATTATATAACTAAAATTGGCAAATTTTATTGAGTGTAAACTATAACCTAATTGAAAAAAAATGAGGGCCTGGCGCAATAGCGTAAGGGTTAAGGTCCTTGCCTTGAATGCACCAGGATCCCATATGGGTGCCGGTTCTAATCCCGGCAGCTTTACTTCCCGTCCAGCTCCCTGCCTGTGGTCTGGGAATTTAGTAGAGGATGGCCCAAAGCCTTGAGACCCTGCACCCGCGTGGGAAACCCAGAAAGAAGTTCCTGGCTCCTGGCTTTAGATCAGCGCAGCACCAACCATTGTAGCCACTTGGGGAGTGAATCATCAGGCACAAGATATTGCTCTCTGTCTCTCCTCCTCTCTGTACATCTGCCTTTCCAATAAAATAAATAAATCTTTTTTTAAAAAAAGAGAAAAATGGAAAAAATTGCTTTGGGAAGTAACAGGGACAAGACAAAACTGACTGCCACAGAGACCACACTTTTTTTTCTGCCTTCAGCAACTGAGATCAGTTAAAAGAATATAGAAGAGGTCAGTAGCCCAGATATTTTATAAGCAGATTTATGATAATATTTCCTGAATTAGTGTATTATAGTACTGAAAGAATATGAATAAAAGAAGCAGTAAAGCAATAAAAACATGACAGCATCACACATAGAATTTTATAGGGCTATAAAATATCTCAAAAGATATATGTAAGGTGTGGAAGCATGATGAGTAGGAAATACTAATCTTAAGGAGACTGAGAAAGGCAATCTGCTGCATAAACAGAGGATAAAACATTAGCTAGTAGACATATAAAGAATTGGAATAAATTTCAAAAAACCACAGGCCAACCAGACCATGCTGAGTAAATACAAAACTCAACAAAAGTGTGTAGTCCTTTGCTCATGAGCGGGGAGACTGCAGAACATGGTAATATAATGATTAAGTAAGTAGCCAGAATGATTTGTTCAAGACTATATTGTGTATATTCCCTTTTGGGTTCCTCAACAGTGAGCAAGTTCCTATATTAGCCTTGTGAAAAGAGAAAGAACATGCAACTGAAGTAAACATAAATTGTAGACATGATCTCTTTCCTGTGCTAAGAGTGGTCCATGAACCAACAATACAAACAAGAGCTTAGAGATGGGGAGTTTTTTAAATGCTTGTTTTATTTTTGTTGTTGTTTTACATCTACTGCAGGGAGGGTGGGAGGAACAGAGAAAGAGAGAGAGAATCTTCCATTTATTGGTTTACTCCCCAAATCCCCAAATCCCCACATCAGCCAGGGCTAGAACTGCATCCCACAACGTACACCATCATTTGCTGCCTCACAAGTTGCAACTCTAGCAGGAATGCTAGAGTTGAAGCAGAGTAGTATGAATTTAAATCAGCACTCCAATATGGAATAAAGGCTGCTTAATTCACTGCACTACATCTTCTACCTCTGAGGGTTTCTAAGAAAATCAAATTCTATGACTGGCATTGTGGCATAGTGGGTAAAGCTGCCACCTGTGACACCAGCATCCCTTATGGGCACTGATTTTATTATTGGCTGCACCCCTTCCAATCTGACATCCTGCTAACATGCTGAAGATGATCGAAGTGTTTGAGCTCCTGTACCTACATGGCAGACTGAGAAAAAGTTCCTAGCTCCCACTCTGGCCTGATCCAGCGCTGGCCATTGTGACCATTTGAGGAGTGAATCAGCAGGTCAAAGATGTTTTTAACTCTCTGTCTCTCCTTCTCTATGTAACTTTGCCTTTCAGTCAAATAATAAAATACCCCAACTAGAGATCATTATGCTCAGTGAAACAAGTCAATCCCTAAAGGACAAATACCATGTGTTTCCTCTGATATAAGGCAACCTTCATGCAAAACAGAAGATCAATAACCCTTTCAATACTGATTTGCTACACCTCAACAGGTTTGATATTTTTATTTTTATTTTCATTCATTCAAAAAAAAGTTTTTGTTTTTCTTACTAATTTCCTGACTGACTCACAGGTCACATAATAGCATTGTTTGCTTCAGGAAAGTCTTTGATTTTCTTTTTCAGTGATCATTCAGTAGCATGTTATTTAACTTCATGTTGTTGTAACTTTCTGTTTTTCTCTCTGTTGTTGATTTTGTTGTATAGCTTTTCATTTAAGAGATGTATAGTAACTGTGTAGTAGAGATTATCACATAGAGATGTGAAGATACAATGCAGTGTGCGTCTGTACTTCAAAATCAAAGATGAACTCCTAATGAAACTGTTGAATGTATCTTGACACTAGGATGCTGGGGTCTGTCATTGTCCATGCCTGCAATGCCAGGATACACTTAATGGCAGAATGATGGACTTATCCCTGATTGTGAAGGACTATATTACTATAATGACATGGGGGAAACCTGGGGGAGGGAGGGCAGTAGGGGGAAGGGAAATCCTGGAGCCTATGGAATTGTGTCATAGAATAATAAAATAGTTAAATGAATTTTTAAAATAAACAAATAAAATAAAATAGCCCAGCTGTAGGCAACTGCCTAGGTTGCCCTATACCTAGTCAGCTGTTACACAAATGTTACATATTACGGGGTTAAGGAAGTCACCTATTCCAATCTTCTGGTGGAATATTTTTCTTACACAATCTTTTATCAAGTAACTCAAATATATTTAACAAGCTAACTCTGATTATGCATATAACATATATTAATTGTCTAATTTTAAGAGCAAAGAGTAAAATAAAACACAATCCCTACATTTAGGAATTTAAGTCCAGTGGGAAAGACAAGTAAACTGACATGAGCTAGTCATGAGCTGCAAAATGTGTAAACATAGATACCAACAGGAAGTTATCCAACAGACATTCAACTT